GGTGGTTTCTAGTTCCCCCACCTTGGTGGTTCTACTTCCCCCCCAGTTTGGTGGTTTCTAGTTCTCCCTCTTTGGTGGTTTCTAGTTCTCCCCCCCTTTTTGGTGGTTTCTAGTTCTCCCCTGTTTGGTGGTTTCTAGTTCTCTCCCCAGTTTGGTGGTTTGTAGTTCTCCCCTCTTTGGTGGTTTCTAGTGTCCCCCCCTCCTCTCCTGGTGGTTTCAGGTTCCCCCCCATCAGGGCCCGGGGCTGGGCTGGGGTTGTGGGGTGGGGAGATGGCAGTGGATTTTCAGGTTGGGCCGGGTTGTTGGAGGCCGGAGCCTTGTCCTGTTGGCCTGTGTGTCTCTGTGTCTGTCTTTCTGTCTGTCTTCCGTCTCCTCTCGGTCTGTCTGTCTGTCTGTCTGTCCATCTGTCCATCTGTCAGTCTGCCTGTGTCCCTGTCTATCTGTTTGTCTCTGGGTCTGTCTGTCCATCTGTCCATCTGTCTGTCAGTCAGTCAGTCTGTCTGTGTCGGTCTGTCTCTCTCTGGGTTTGTCTGTCTGTCCATCTCCTCTTGGTCTGTCTATGTCTGTCTGCCTGCCTCTCGGTCTGTCTGTCTCCTCTCTGTCCATCTGTCTTCCTTTTTGTCTGTCTGTCCGTCTGCATCTCAGTCTGTCTGTCTGTGTCTCTGTCCATCTGCTTCTGTCGGTCTGTCCATCTCCTTTCAGTCTGTCTGTCTGTCTGTCTCCTCACAGTCTGTCTGTCTTCCTCTTGGTCTGTCTGTCCACCTAGATGTCCATCTGCTTCTCCTGTCTGTCTGTCCATCCGGTCTTGGTCATCCGTCCATCCCTTGTTTGTCTGTCTGTCCCTCAGTCTCTGCATCTGTCTGTCTCTGTCTGTCTGCAGGTCAGTCTGTGTCTGGGCCCCTGTCTGTCCATGTGTGTGTGTCCATGTTTCTGTCTGTCCATCTCCTCTCTGTCTCATTGTCTGTCTATCTGTCCATCTGTCTCTGGCTCTGTCTGTCTGTCTATCTGTCCATGTGTCATCCTCTTGGTCTGTCTGTCTGTCTGTCCATCTGCCTCTCAGTCTCTCTGTCTGGGTCTGTCTGTCCTGTGTCTGTCTGTCTGTCTCCTCTCTGTCCATCTGTCTTCCTCTCTGTCTGTCTGCCTCTTGGTCTGTCTGTCCACCTGGCTGTCCATCTGCTTCTTCTGTCTGTCCATCTGTCTGTCCTGTCTTGATCATCTGTCCATCCCTTGCCTGTCTGTCTGTCCGTGTGTCATCCTCTCGGTCTGTCTGTTCATTTCTGTGTCTATCTGTCTCCCCATCCATACGTCTGTCCCCAACAACTGTCCTCTTTCCCCCTCAGGCCAGGCCGACTTTGACCTCGCCGACGCCCTAGATGACCCCGGTGAGTCCTGACCTCTCACCTTTCCCCCCCCATGGCTTCACCCTGGCCGCTAGGCCTCACATGGGGCCTTGATCCAGCTGTGGGCCTGAATCCCATGTGACCCTTTGCCACCCCCTGAGGCCTTGGGATCAGGGGTTGGGGGGGTCAGGGGAGGTCAGGGGTCACCACCCTCTCTCTCTTCGCCCACAGATCCCACCCCGAAGCCCATCTCGGATGAGTGGGGTCCTCCCACACACACACCAGGCCCACCCAGGGTGGGGAAACTGAGGCACGGCCCACTCCTGGCACATAGGGCTGTACCCGCAGCTGCCTGACCCGCCCAGGCCATGACCTCCGGGTCGGGAAGGAGGTGAGCGGGGTCAGGGGGTTCAGGGGGAGCCAGGGGTCAGGGGAAGGAGGGGGGTAAGGGGAGGGGAGAGGCCGGCCTCCATCCTCCCTCGCTCTCTTCCCGCAGACATCTACCTCCCGACGCCAGCCTCCACCCCAGCCCCAACCCCCGCCAGGCACAGGAGGTGAGGACATGGAAGGGGGGAGGCCCGGATGTGGAGGCTGGGGATGGAGAGGCCTGGATGTAGAGGCCCGGATGTAGGGAACCCAGTGTGGAGGCCCGGATTTATGGACCCGGATGTGGAGACCCCAGTGTGGAGATCTGGATGTAGAGACCCAGATGTGGAGACCCCAGTGTGGATTCCTGGATGTAGAGACCCGGATGTAGGGACCCAGACATGGGATCACAGATGTAGGGACCTGGATGTGGGTACCCTGATGTAGGGACCCGGATGTAAGGACCCGGATGTGGAGGCCGAGCTCCCAGGGCTGCGTCTCTCCTCCCCCTCCACCCCAGGTGCTGGTGACGAACACGTGATCCACGGATACCCTCCAGGGTAAGTCCCGCCCCCTCAGCCGCCCCACTTCCGGTCCCCTCCTGATCTGGGCCCAGGCGTGTATTGGGACTTCCGGTCTGCATGAGAACTTCCGCTCCTGACAGTATGTGAACTTCTGGTCCAGAGTATCGGAACTTCCGGTCCTGATTGGGAACTTCCGGTCCCTAGTATATAACAACTTCCGGTCCCGACTGGGGACTTCCAGTCCCTAGTGTATAGGAACTTCCAGTCCTGACTATGGGGACTTCCGGTCCCTAGTGTGTAAGAACTTCCGGTCTTCACTGTGGAGACTTCCAGTCCCTAGTATATAACTTCTGGTCTTGACTATGGGGACTTCCGGTCCAAGTGTACAGGAACTTCTGGTCCTGATTGGAAGGACACTTCCGGTCCCTAGTGTATAGGAACTTCCCATCCTGATTGGAAGGGCACTTCCAGTCCCTAGTGTAGAGGAACTTCCCGTATCTAGTGTATAAGAACTTCTGGTATTGACTATGGGGACTTCCGGTTTTGACTGTGGAGATTTCCAGTCCCTAGTATATAGGAACTTCTGGTCCTGACTGGGGACTTCCGGTCCCTAGTATATAGAAACTTCCGGTCCTGATGGGAAGGGCATTTCCGGTCCCTAGTGTGTAGGAACTTCTGGTCTTGACTGTGGAGACTTCCAGTCCCTAGTATATAACAACTTCTGGTCTTGACTATGGGGACTTCCGGTCCCTAGTATACAAGAACTTCTGGTCTTGACTAGGGGCACTTCCTGTCCCTGTTCATGGACACTTATGTCACGCCATCTAATTGCAAGGGGCATGGCCTGAAGTTGACAGGACACTTGATAATACAAGGGGGCATGGCCTGAAGATGACAGATAGGACACATGATTATACAACAAGGGGGCGTGGTCTGAAGGTGACAGACAGGACAAATGTCCACACAACAGCCAGGGGGTGGGACCTGGAGGAGACAGACAGCCCCTGTGGCCTTTCAACAGCCATTGGGCGGGGCCTGGAGGTGACAGAGAGCCTCTATGGCCTTCCAACAGCCAGAGGGCGGGACCTGGAAGAGACAGACAGCCCCTGTGGCCTTCCAACAGCCAGGAGGCGGGACCTGGAAGTGAAGGACAGCCCCTGAGCCCATACATTCACTAGTGGGCGGGACTTCTGGGTGATGGGCACCCACAGCATTCATAGAGCTAGCCACGAAGAGGCGTGGCTTCACACATATCGACTCTCCAGCTATTGGCTTGGCAGGGGGCGGGACCCAGGGATGATGGACAGCATGCCCTGCCTTTCAATATCACCCAAGGAAGAGGCGGGACCGGACCCCCAGCTTCCCTGGGCAGGGCCAAAGGATGGAGAGACAGGCGTGTCAGCCAATCAGAGCAGGGGCGTGGCTGGAGGAGTCCCCGGGGAAGCCAATGGGTCCCTCCCTCCAGAGAAGACCCGGACGTCGTGCAGGTGCAATGCATCCTAGGCCTAGGGAGACACAGACCTCCAACCTCGACTTATCCTACCGCCATAAGGAGCTATAGGCCCATCTGGGTCAATCCCTGGAGAGGTCATTGGGGTCCCCTGGGACAGGCACAGAAGGGGAAGAGGTCGCAGGCCTGGTCATCCACCCATCCATCCACCCAACCACCGCCCCCCCTTAGAGTGGGCCAACATCCGGGTACCCCACTTCTCCAATCCCGCTGGGCCAATCTGAATCCGAGTTCAGGTAGTTAGGGGCAGGACTGTCGTGTGAGGTCCAATCAGCAGCGAGTTGGATTTGTGGGGGGGCTAAAGGGCATGTCTTACAGCTGGACCAATGACAAGTGAATTAGGAAAGTGAGGGCAGGGCTTTCATGGAATAGGCCAATCAGGTGTGAATCTAGGTGGTGGGATGTCCTAGAGGAGGGCAAGACCAAGCCTGTATCCTAGCAACCCACTGGAAATGGTCTGAAATGGAAGGTTGGATTAGTCCAATACCCTAGCAACCACCGGAAATGGCCTGAAATGGAAGGCCGGACTAGTCCAATACCCTAGCAACCACCGGAAATGACCTGAAATGGAAGGTGGGACCAGCCCTGTATTACGACCGGAAATGTTCTGAAATGGAAGGCGGGACCAGTCCTATACCCTAGTAATGACCAGAAGTGGCCTGAAATGGAAAGTGGGACTAGTCCTATACCTTAGCAATGACCGGAAATGACCTGAAGTGGAAGGTGGGAGTAGTCCTATACCCTAGCAATGACTGGAAATGACCTGAAATGGAAGGTGAGACTAGTCCTATACCCTAGCAACGACCAGAAGTGGCCTGAAATGGAAGGGGGGACCAGCCCTGTATCCTAGCATCAACCGGAAATGACCTGAAATGGAAGGCAGGACCAGTGCCCGGCTTCTGACCCCGGTGACCCCTGACCCTGCCGTGCGGTGCGGTGCTCACGAGGTTTTATTGTGTGAGAAGTTAGAGGACATAGGCCCGGATGTGAGAGGGCCCCGGATGGGAGGCTGGGAAAAGGCCCCGGATGGGAGGACCAAGGTGGAGGTCCAGGATGAGAGGCTCAGGATGTGAGAGTCCCCGGATGTGGGAATCCCTGGGTCTGAGAATCCCCAGATGTGAGACTCTCTGAATGTGAAAATCCCCGGATGTAAGAGTTCCCCAGATGTGAGAATCCCCGCATGTGAAAGTCTCTGGATGTAAAAGTCCCTGGATGTGACAATCCCCAGATGTAGGAATCTCTAGATGTGGGAATCCCCGGCTGTGGGAATCCCCAGATGTGAGAATCCCTGGATGCGAGAATCCCCAGATGTGGGAATCCCCGGGTGTGAGATTTCCCCAGATGTGGGAATTCCCTGGTCTGAGAATCCCCGGATGTGGGAATCCCCGGATATGAGAATCCCCGGATGTGGGAATCTCTGGATGGGAGAATCTCTGGATGTGAGAATTTCCGGATGTGAGACTCCCCGGATGTGAGAATCTCTGGATGTGAGAGTCTGTATGTAGGAATCCCCGGATGTGAGAGTCTCTGGATGTGAGAATCCTCGGATGTAAAAGTCCCCGGATGTAGGATTCCCCAGATGTGTAAATACATCCCCGGGAATCCCCGGATGTGTCACCAGAAGTGAGAATCCCCGGATGTGAGAATCCCCGGATGTAGGAATCCCCGGATGTAGGAATCCCCGGATGTGAGAGTCTGTATGTGGGAATCCCCGGATGTGGGAATTTCTGTATTTGAGTATACCCAGATGTTTAATACCCGGATGTGAGTCCCCGGATGTGAGAGGCGCAGGCCAGGATCTGCCATAGCCCCAGGGAAGTTGGTGGTTGGGGGTCGGGTCGGGGTCAGAGGTCGGGGATCAGGTGGTCGCAGGCACAGAGCGGTCCGGGCGAGCAGCAGGGCTGCAGGCGCGGGCTCCAGGTGTTGTGTGCAGGGGCGAGGGGCGGGGCCGCGAGGGGGCGGCGCATGCGCAGCATCCGGGCCACCGCGGCCTCCACGCGCCTGCGCGTCGCCATCGGGCCCTGCAGCGGGCGAGTCTCCCCTGGGTCCGCCGTCAGGTCAAAGAGCAGTGGCTGCCGGTGGTGGGTCATTCGCCGCCCCGAGCAGGCGCAGGCAGGGAAACCGAGGCAGGTGCCCGAGCCCGGCGGGTCGAAGCGCGGAGTGGCGAAGTGCAGCTTCCACACCGTGCGGCCTGCGGGGGGTGGGGGGAGAAAGGAGTAACATCCAGGGCCTCACATCCGGGGATTCCCATCCGGGAATTCACATCCAGGACATCACATCCAGGGATTCACATCCGGGCATTCACATGCAAGACCTTACATCCAGGGATTCCCATCCAGGACTTCACATCTGGGTATTCACATCCGGGGATTCCCATCTAGGACCTCACATCCGGGGATTCACATGCAGGACCTCACATCCGGGAATTCACATCCGGAACCTCACATCCAGAACCTTACATCTGGGGCTTCACATCTGGGGATTCACATCCGGGGATTCACATCCGGGGGGCCACATCCGGGCATTCACATGTGGGACCTCACATCCGGGGACTCACATCCGGGGATTCTCATCTGGGACCTCACATCCAGGGATTCCCATTTGGGACCTCACATCCGGGGCCTCACATCCGGGGATTCCCATCCGGGATCTCACATCCAGGGCCTCACATCCAGGGATTCTCATCCAGTACCTCACATCCGGGAATTCCCATTGGGGACTTCACATCCGGGGATTCCCATCTCATGACTTCCATCCAGGTCCTCACATCCCGGGATTCCCACATCCGGGTCTCCCAGGCCTTGCATCCGGGTCCCTGCGTGCATGCATGCAGCTCCCTCCCCCGCCCCAGGGCCCAACTGAGGTCTAGGCACTCACTTGGGTGGTCGAACCAGCGCACGGCGTGCAGCCGGGCCTCGCAGTAGTGCAGCAGGAAGTCGTGGCCTGCGGCCTGCGCCGTCCCCAGCAGCGCGGGCATCAGGTCCCGGCCGTCCACCTCCCTGCGGGACCCAGATGTGCAGGCTTCTGAGCGCTCAGAGACCCGGATGTGCAGGCCAGAGCCCCCAGAGACCCGGATGTGCAGGCCAGAGATCCCAGAGACCTGGATGTCAAGGCTTGAGCCTTTAGAGACCCGGATGTGCAGGCTTCTGAGCCCTCAGAGACCCGGATGTGCAGGCCAGAAATCCCAGAGACCCAGATGTCCAGGTTTCTGAGCCCCCAGAGACCCGGATGTACAGGTCTAAGACCCAGGCCTCTGGTCTTAGAGACCTGGATGTGCAGGCCTGAGGCCTCAGAGACCCAGATATCCAAGCTTCTGAGCGTTCAGAGACCCGGATGTCCATGCTTCTGAGCCCCCAGAGACCCGGATGTGCAGGCCTGAGATCCCAGAGTCCCAGATGTGCAGGCTTCTGAGCCCTCAGAGACCCAGATGTGCAGGCCTGAGCCCTCAGAGACCTGGATGTCCAGGCCTGAGACCTGGGCCTAGGTACTCAGAGACCTGGATGTGCAGCCCTGATGCCTTAGAGACCCGGATATGAAGGCCTGAGTCCTCAGAGAACCAGATGTCCAGGCTTCTGAGTGCTCAGAGGCCCAGATTTGCAGGCCTGAGCCCTTAGTTACCCGGATGTAAAGGCTTCTGAGCCCCCAGAGACCCGGATGTCAAGGCCTGAGCCCTGGGTCTTGGGTCTTAGAGACCCGGATGTGCAGGCTCCTGAGCCCCCAGAGACCCGGATGTGCAGGTCTGAGCCCTCAGAGACCCGGATGTGCAGGCTTTTGAGCAACCAGAGACCCGGATGTGCAGGCCTCAGCCTCCCCCCCTCGGGATCCCCGAGGCCCAGGATGACCCCCCTTCTCCTCCACCCCGTGGGGACCCAGGCCGGCGAACTCCTACCTGTCCGCCGGAACCCAGCCCCCGGCCAGGCGCACCACGGTGGGGAACAGGTCCATGAGGCTGGTGGGCTCAGGCACCAGGCGCCCTGCGGGCAGTGTCCCAGGCCAGCGCACCAGCCCAGGGACCCGGATGCCGCCCTCCCAGCCGCCCATGCCTTTGCCACCTGCAAGGGGGGGGCAGAGGGCAAAGGTCAAGGGGCGGGGTCGGGCTGCGTGGGAGGCCCCGCCCACCCTGCCTCAGTTTCCCCCTCGCCTCGGTGCACGCCGTTGGAACCCCCGAGGCGGGCGCCCCCAGCCCGGGCCTCCAGCGAGGCACCGTGGTCCGACGTGAAGTAGACGAGGGTGCGGTGCCCCAGCCCCGCACCGTCCAGCGCTGCCAGCAGTCGCCCTGCGGGGGGGGGGGGGGGAAATGGGTCCGTGCCTCAGTTTACCCCCAGCATCCACCGTGCCTCAGTTTACCCAACATGCATCATGACTCAGTTTACAAATTTCCATCGTGCTTCAGTTTATACTCAATGCCCAGTGACTTAGTTTACCCAACAGGCACCGTGCCTCAGTTTACCCCCAACGCTCACCGGGCCTCAGTTTACCCAAATGCACTGTGCCTCAGTTTACCCCCAACATGCACTGTGCCTCAGTTTACCCAAATGCACTTTGCCTCAGTTTACCCAAGTGCACCGTGCCTCAGTTTACCCTAAACATGCACCGTGCCTCAGTTTACCCCTATATTTGGGCCTCAGTTTACCCAAGTGCACCGTGCCTGTTTACCCAAATGCACCGTGCCTCAGTTTACCCCAACCCGCTGACCCCGTCCCCGTGCCTCAGTTTACTCCCATCCCGGTGCCTCAGTTTACTCAACCCACTCACCTCGTCCCCGTGCCTCAGTTTACCCAACATGCACCATGTCTCAGTTTACCCAACATGCCCAGTGACTCAGTTTACCCAACATGCACCGTGCCTCAGTTTACCCCTATACGTGGGCCTCAGTTTACCCACATCCACCGTACCTCAGTTTACCCAAATGCACCGTGCCTCAGTTCACCCTGAACATGCACCGTGCTTCAGTTTACCCAACATGCACCGTGCCTCAGTTTACCCAAGTGCACCGTGCCTCAGTTTACCCCCAACATGCCCAGTGACTCAGTTTACCCAAATGCACCGTGCCTCAGTTTACCCAAACCCCGTGCCTCAGTTTATCCCCAACACACTGACCCCGTCCCCGTGCCTCAGTTTACCCAAATGCACCGTGCCTCAGTTTACCCCAACCCATTGACCCCGTTCCCATGCCTCAGTTTCCCCCATCCCGCTCACCCCATCTCTGTGCCTCAGTTTCCCCCAACCCACTCACCCCACCCCCGTGCCTCAGTTTCCCCATCCCGCTCACCCCGTCCCCATGCCTCAGTTTCCCTATCCTGCTCACCCCACCCCCGTGCCTCTGTTTCCCCCATCCCACGCACCATGCCTCAGTTCCTGCCCCCCCGCACTCACCCACCATCCAGTCAAGCTCCTCCACATTGTCGCCGTAGGCGCCGTGCGCGCTGCGGCCCCGGAAGGCAGGTGAGGTGACCAGGGGGACGTGGACGTGGAGGAAGGAGACGAGGAGGAGGAAGGGGCGGGCCTGGTGCCTGCGGATCCACGTCAGACCCCGCCCCCACCATCAATAACCTCACTGATAACCGACCTGATCAGGTATTGCCAATAATCGATCAGATGATCGATAATTGATCCTGATCTGATCAGATATTACCAATAATCGATCCTGATCTGATCGATAATACCAATAATCAATAGTGATCTGATCAAAAATACCAAAATCGTGATCCGATCAGTTATTACCAATAATCAAACAGATCTGATCAGTTATTACCAATAATCAAACATCTGATCGATATGACCAATAATAGAACATGAGCTGATCAGATATTACTAATAATCGAACAGGATCTGATCAATAATACCAATATTCGATTGTGATGTGATCGATAATACCAATAATTGAACATCATCTGATCGATAATACCAATAATTGAACATGAGCTGATCAGTTATTACCAATAATCGAACATCATCTGATCAGTTATTACCAATAATCTATCATGATCTGATCAATACTACCAATAATCGATCATGGTCTGATCTGAGGTCTACCAGATGTCTCTACAGATCTACTAGATGGAACATCCGGGGACCTGAGGTCTACCAGATGTCTATAGAGATCTACTGGATGTACATCCAGGGATCTAAGGTCTACCAGTTGACTATAGAGATCTAGTAGATGGAATCGGTCCCCCTCCCGACCCCAGGCTGACCTGTGAATGAAGGCCTCAGCCTCCCGCAAGAAGAGCCCCGTGCTGGCCTCAAACCTCAGAGGCTGCTGGACGACCTGGTGATCCCTCATCAGGAAGCAGTCAGCATGGACGATGAAGACACCCAGGAGGCGGGAGGTGCAGGCCAGTAGCAAGGCCCCACATCCGGGGCCCAGCACCCAGGGCACCCAGCGCAGGCCCAGCAGGCCCGTGACCTTCCCAGCGGCCAGGCAGAGCAGGGAAAGCAGCAGCAGCTGCGCCCCCAGGTCCAGGGGCCCTTGCAGACGCGCTCGCTTCTCCGAGGGCTCCGCTTGCAGGCAGTCCCCCATCAGGGTGAAGGGGACCCCGAAGAAGGAGTCAAACCCGTGGTTCAGGGGGTGGTGGCAGTGGTCAGTGGGGGACTCACAGTTGAGGCCCAGGTGCCATTTGCCTGGAGGGGAAGAGATGGATGGATGAGTGAATGGATGGGTGGATGGATGGGTGGATGGATGGGTGGATGGATGGGTGGGTGGATGGTTGGGTGGGTGGATGGTTGGGTGGGTGGATGGATGGGTGGATGGATGGATGGATGGATGGGTGGGTGGGTGGATGGATGGATGGATGGATGAATAGGGGAATGGGTGGATGGATGGATGGGTGGATGGATGAATGCACAGTGGATGGATGAATGGGTGGATGGGTGGATGGATGGATGGATGGGTGGGTGGATGGATGGATGGATGGGTGGATGGATGGGTGGGTGGATGGATGAATGGATGGATGGGAGGATGGATGGATGGGTGGGTGGATGGATGGATGGATGGATGAATAGGTGGATGGGTGGATGGATGGATAGATGAGTGGATGGATGGATGGATGGGTGGATGGGTGGATGGATGGATGGATGGGTGGATGGATGGATGGATGGATGGATGGGTGGATGGATGGATGGGTGGATGGATGACTTCTTTCTTACCTATGAGGCCGGTGGCATATCCCTGCTCCTGCAGGATCTTGGCGAAGGTGATCTCGGAGGTGGGCAGCCCGCCCGACACGGCTGCCCACTGCAACACGCGCGCCCCGTTGGTGGTCACCATGCCTTCCAAGAGAGAGGAGAAGGACCCTAGGTCAGTGATGATGGCGTCCCGGGTCAGGACGGGGTATCTAGCACCTTCAGGGGGAAGGCCTGCTGTGTCTGGGATAGCCTGGGACCTGCGCACCCGGGCTGGAAAGGACCCCAGCCCTGTGAGCCCCCGGGGGAAACCAATATGGCATCACTTCCGGTTTCCTGGCGTTTCAGGGGGGAAGTCCCAGAGTCTCAGGAATTTGAACCTGAGATCCTCAGAGTAGTCCTCCCCTCCCTCTGATGGACCTCAGTGCCCTAGATGTTGAGCCTCAGTTCCCTGGATGTTGGGCCTCAGGTCCCCGGATGTTTGATGTTAGTATCCCGGATGTTGGCCCTCAGATCCCCGGATGATGGAGTTCAGTGCCCTGTATGGTGGATATCAGGACCCCAGATGTTGGACTTCAGTTACCCGGATGTTGTAGCTCAGTTCCCTGGATGTTGGATCTTACAACCCCGGATATTGGAGCTCAGATTCGGGTATGTTGGCCCTCAGATCCCCAGATGTTGGAGCTCTGTTCCCTGGATGTTGGGGCTTAGGTTCCCGGATGTTGGATCTTAGTACCCCGGATGGTGGATGTCAGGTCCTAGGATGTTGGAGTTCAGTTCCCAGAATGTTAGGCCTCAGATCCCCGGATGTTGGATCTTAGTACAATGGATGTTAGAGATAAGGTCCCCAGATGTTAGAGTTCAGTGTCCCGGATGTTGGTGCTCAGATCCCCGGATGTTGGATCTTAGTAACTGGATGTCAGAGATGAAGTCCCTGGATGTTAGAGCTCAGTGCCCTGGATGTTGGTGCTCAGTTCCCCGGATGTTAGGCTTTAGATCCCCGGATGTTGGGTCTCAGATCCCCAGATGTTGGATATCAGGTCCATGGATGTTGGATCTTAGTACCCCGGATGTTGGCTCTCAGATCCCCGGATGTCCCGCCCCCACCTCCCCCCACCGCCCCCTCCATTCCCCAAATGTCCCACCCCCCCATACCGACCCAGGCGCACAGGGTAGCGTCCCGTCAGGAAGGCCGCACGGCTCGGGCTGCAGACGGACGCTGCCGCCAGGTGCTGGGTCAGCCGCACGCCATCCTGGGCCAGGCCGTCCAGGTGCGGGGTGCTGTGGGGGGAGAGGAAAACTGAGTCACAACCAAGAACATACGGGGACCTGGGGTCTAACATCCGGGGATCTAATGCCCAACATCCCAGGAGCTGAACTCCAACATCCAGGGCCCTGAGATCCCACATCCGGGGATCTAAGATCCAACATCCGGGGACTTGAGATCCCACATCCGGGATACTAAGATCCAACATCTGGGGACCTGAGGTCCAACATCCTGGGATCTAAGGTCCAACATCTGGGGCCCTGAGATCCCACATCCAGGGTACTAAGATCTATATCTGTGGACTGGACTCCTACATCCGGGGATCTAAGGCCCAACATCCGGGGACCTGAGGGCCTACATCCGGACAACTAAGATCCAACCTCTGGGACCTGAGCTCAAACATCTGGGTACCTGGTCTCCAACATCTGGGACACTAAGATCCAACATCCAGGGATCTGATATCCAACATCCGGGGGCCTGATCTCCAACATCTGGGGTACTAACATCTAACATCTGGGAACCTGATTTCCCACATCTGGGTTATACTAAGATTTAACATCCGAGGACCTGATCTCCAACATCCGGGGCACTAACATTCCACATCCGGGGATCTGATATCCAACATCCGGGGATCTGATATCCAACATTCAGGGAACTGAGATCTAACATCCTGGGAATTGAACTCCAACATCCGGGGACCTAACATCCAACATCCGGGGACCTGAGGTCCACTAGATGTCTATACAGTTCTCCTGGTGGAACATCCGGGGAACTGAGCTCTAACATCCGGGGTACTAACATGTAACATCCGGGGACCTGATATCCAACATCCAGGGCAGTAAGATTCAACATCCGGGGACCTGATCTCCAACATCGGGGACCTGATCTCCAACATCCGGAGCACTAACATCTAACATCCGGGAACCTGATTTCCCACATCCAGGGCATTAAGATCTAACATCCGTGGACCTGTCCTCCAACATCCAGGGCACTAACATCCCACATCCGAGGATCTGATATCCAACATCCGAGGATCTGATATCCAACATCCGGGGTACTAACATCTAACATCGGGGACCTGATATCCAACATCCAGGACACTAAGATCTAACATCCAGGCACCTGGGCTCCTACATCCGGAGGAATAAGATCCAACATCGGGGCACTGAGCTACAACATCCAGGGTACTAATATCTAACATCCGGGGACCTGAGCTCCCACATTCGGAGCACTAACCTCCAACATCTGGGGACCTGAGCTCCTACATCTGGGGCACTGAAGTCCAATATCTGGGGACATGATCTCCCACATCCGGGGTACTAAGATTTAACATCCAGGGACCTGATAGCCAACATCCAGGGCACTAACATCCAACATCTGGGGACCTAGTCTCCAACATCCGGGGTACTAACATCCAACATCCAGGGAACTGAAGTCCAACATCCGGGAACCTGATTTCCCACATCCGGGGTATTAAGATTTAACATCTGGGGACCTGATATCCAACATCCGGGGCACTAAGATCCAACATCCGGGGATTTGATATCCAACATCCACGATACTAACATCCAACATCCGGCGAACTGAGTTACTAGATGTCTATACAGTTCTCCTGGTGGAACATCCAGGGATCTGAGCTCCCACATCCGGGTAACTAAGGCCCTACATCCGGGCCTACCCCTCTGCTCACCGCAGGCTGCGGTTCCCGAAGCTGCCCAGGTCGCCCAGGCCCAGGTCGTCGGCCAAGAGCAGCAGGAAGTTGGGGCGCGAGGGGGCGGGGCCTGCGCAGGGGCCAGGGGGGAGGAGGAGGAGGAGGAGGAGGAGGAGGAAGGCGAGGGGTGGGGCTGCGCAGCTGCTGTGTGACCTGAGGAGGACAGAGAGGAGGAGGAGGGGTGGATGGGTGGATGGATGGATGGATAGGTGGATGGGTGGATGGATGGATGGATGGGTGAATGGATGGGTGGATGGATGGATGGTTGGATGGATAGGTGGATGGATGGATGGATGGATGGATGGATGGATGGGTGGATGGATGGATGGTTGGATGGATGGTTGGATGGATGAGTGGATGGGTGGATGAGTGGATGGATGGATGGGTGGATGGGTAGATGGATGGATGGGTGGATGGGTGGATGGATGGATGGGTGGGTGGATGGATGGATGGGTGGATGGATGGATGGGTGGGTGGGTGTATGGATGGATGGGTGGGTGGATGGATGAATGGATGGATGGGTGGATGGATGGATGGGTGGGTGGATGGGTGGATGGATGGATGGATGGGTGGATGGATGGGTGGATGAATAGGTGGATGGGTGGATGGATGGATGGATGGGTGGGTGGATGGATGGTTGGGTGGATGGGTGGGTGGATGGATGGGTGGATGGATGGGTGGATGGATGGATGGGTGGATGGGAGGAGGGATGGGAGGACTCCCCCTCCCTCCAGGCCCTCTCCTGACTAACATGGCGCCCAGGATCGCGTCCTTCCCATGATGCTCCCCGTTTCCTGGAAGAGAAGGCTGGAAGCAGGAAGTGGGGAAGAGCTGAGGAAGATCCGGCCACCCCAGGGCCAGGCTGCTGTTGCCCCCACCAGTACATCAGCCCCTCACCTTGTCTTTCCAGGCTTGTGGCGGGGCCCTGCAGCCCCCACCCCAGGGCATGGTGGGACACCCGGGGGGGCTCCAAAAAGCAATCGAAGCCCCCCCACCCCGGGTCCCCACACCTCTCCCCGTGTTTCCCAGAGGACGAACTCACATCCACAGTTCTCTGCCATCAGCGCCTGGGCCTGCTGCTCTCCCTGCCAGCCAGGAAGCTCGCAGGGGTCAAATGTCCACGTCACTCCAGCAGCCAGAACTCCACAACCGCCCTCCAAAATAAAAGTCCCCTTGTTCCTTGGAAAGGAACAGGATGTGGTGCTGAAGGGGAAGGCAGGGAAGGAAGGGAAAATCCCGGAGTTGCTGGGCTAGGCACCAAGAAATTGCCAGGCCTGGCAGAGGAAGGAGGAAGGGGAGGAGGGAAACCTCGAGAACTACATGGAGGGCTGCAATAAGAGTCAGGACCGTCAAGGAGCGTGGCCTGTGCTCAGTAGGGCGTGGCCAGAGCTCAGGAGGGCGTGGCCTGGGCTGGGGAGGAAGTGAGGGACTCAGGAGGGCTTGGCCTGCGCTGGGGGGCGGAAGTGAGGAAGAATTCCATCCAGAAGCAGCATGGCTGCTTTATTGCCTTCGAGTCTGGGAAAGGACCCCAACAGCCAAAGTGCAGCTGGAGCCCGGGGCCAAGGTGTGGAGTGCCCGCTCCGCCCACATCTGGGTTCCACCTCTCACATCTGGGTCTCAACCCCTCACATCTGGGTCCCAACCCTCACATCCGGGTCCAAACCCCTCACATCTGGGTCCTGGCGCCTGCCAGTGGACCTGGAGTTAAGTAACATCCTGGTACTCGCCTCCACATCTGGGTTCCCATACCTGGAGATCCCTAACATCCGGGTACCCACCCCACATACGGGTTCACGGACCTGGAGGTCCCTAACATCTGGGTACTCACCCCACATCCAGGTTCATGGACCTGGAGGTCCCTAACATCTGGGTACTCACCCCACATCCAGGTTCATGGACTTAGAGGTCCCTAACATCTGGGTAGTTCCCATTCCACATCTTGGTCCTGGACCCTCAGTGGATGTGGAGGGACCTGACATCCGGGATCCCCACACCACATCCGGGTCCTAGACCCTGTCAGTGGAAGGAGAGGAGCATGACATCCGGGACTCCACATGCCACAGCCAGGCCTGTGGATGTGATATCTGGGTCCTGCCCAGCACATATCCGGGTCCCTGCCACAGTCCACATCCGGGTTAATGGACGCGGACTTACATAACATCCGGGTTCCCCACGCAACATCCGGGTCCTGGCCCCTCAGTGGACCTGGAGATAGGTGACATCCGGGTCCCCCAGTCCACATCCGGGTCCTGGCCCCTCAGTGGACCTGGAGATAAGTGACATCTGGGTCCCTGATGCCACATCCGGGAGAGTGGACACGGAGGAGGGTGACATCCGGGTCCCCCAGTCCACATCCGGGTCCTGGCCCTTCAGTGGACCTGGAGATAAGTGACATCCGGGTTCCCCAGGCAACATCTGGGTCAGTGGACACGAATGAGGGAGACATCCGGGTCCCTCCCAGTCCACATCCGTGTACTGGCCCCTCAGTGGACATGAAGGAAGGTGACATCCGGGTCCCTCCTAGTCCACATCCGGATCCTGACCCATCAGTGCATCTGGAAGAAAGTGACATCCAGTTTCTCCATGCCACATCCGGGTCAGTGGACATGGAAGAAAGTGACATCCGGGTCCCTTCTAGTCCACATCCGGGTCCTGGCCCCTCAGTGAACCCAGAGATAGGTGACATCCGGGTTTCTCCCACTTCATATCTGGGTCCTGGCCCCTCAGTGGACCCAGAGATAGGTGACATCTGGGTCTTTCCCAGTCCACATCCGGGTCCCTCCCAGTCCACATCCGGGTCCTAGCCTCTCCGTGGCCTCTGGTCGGACTGCAGCTTCTGTACAGCACACGCAGGTTTGGAGCCCCACATCCGGTCATCTTCCGGCTGGGGCCCAGGAGTCTTGCTGGAGCCGGACATCCGTGTCTCACGCGCTTTCCCGGCAACTGAACCCAGCGGCCTAAAGGCAGGAATGAAGCCCCACATCCGGGTCTTCTCGGTCTGTTGCCTGGCAACCGAATGCAGAGGCCTAGACGCTGTGGTGGAGCCCAATGTCCTGGTATCTTCACTTGGTTGCCCGGCAACCGAACGCCGCGGCCTACCGGCGGGAATGAAGCCCCACATCCGGGTCTCCTCAGTCCGTTGCCCTGCCATGGGACCCAGCGGCCTAGTGGCGGGAATGAAGCTGAACATCCGGGTCTCTGGCACACGGGGGTCGTGTCTGGGCGGCGCCCCGGGGTGGGCGTGGCAGACGTAGGCACCGCGGTCGCGCTCGGAGGCGGCGCGCACCTCCAGGCTGCCGTCGGCGCCCAACGTGAAGCGGCCATGCCTCTGCGGCCCACGCAGCACCAGCCCACCGGGCAGGCGCCAGGACACCGGAAGCGTGGAGGTGGGGCAGCGCAGCCGGAAGCTGCCGCCCAGCACCACATGCAGCGCCGCCCCCGACGCCGCCCCAGGGGGTGGAGTCAGCGCCTCAGAGGGCAGAGTCGGTGCGTCAGGGGGCGCAGTCAGCGCCCAAGATGGCGGGGCAGGCGGGCCAGGGGGCGGAGCTGCCTCAGAGGGCGGAGCCGGCGCAACAGGGGGCGGAGTCAACGCCTCAGAGGGCGGAGCCGACGCCGCAGGGAGGAGAGCCCGCGCCCACCATGGCGGCAGCCGCACCCACATCCAGGCTTCGCCCGCTGGGTTGCGCGCCACGCACACCACGGCGTCGCTGCCACCGCTGTGCAGCGCACGCACATCCGGGATTTCCAACGTCCCGCGCGCATCCACGCTGATCCCTCCCCCCATGCGACTGCGATACGGGACTGGAAGTACCAGCCCACCCGGAAGTTCCCACAGCAGGCGGGGCTCGGGGATGCCATCCGCCTGGCAGCGCACACGCAGACGCACCTCGGGGGAGACCCGTATGTCGTCGTTCACGTCGTCATGGACGTCAGGCGTGACCCGGATGCGCGGCGCCCGCAGCTGCACGTGTAGGCGCACGGTGGCGCGCCAGCCCCGCCCCGCCACGCACGTGTACGTGCCTGCGTCGGCCCGCTGCACCCCGCGCAGGCGCAGACGCCCGTCCGGCAGCACCCGGAAGTGGGCGTCCTCTGGGCCGGAAGTGAAGGCCACGGGGCGCAAGGCCGGCGTCAGCCACGTCACCGCGCGCGACCCTCGCGTCACCGGGCACGTGAGGGTCACTGGGGCGCCGTAGGGGACGGAGAGCTCCGGGGGCAGCAGGGTGGAAGTGGGAGAGGAAGAGGAAGCCGGAAGTGAAGCCGGAAGTGAAGGGGAAGCAGGAAGTGAAGGGGATGACGGAAGTGAAGCGGAACCAGGAAGTGAAGAGTAACCAGGAAGTGAAGAGGAAGAGGAAACAGGAAATGAAGAGGAAGAAGGAAGAGGCTGAGAGGAAGAGGAAGAAGAGGAAGAAGGAAAGGAAGAGGAAGAAGAAACATGAGAGGAAGCAGGAAGAGATGGAGAAGAGGAAGAAGAAGGAAAGGAAGAGGAAGCAGGAAAAGAATGTGAAGAAGAGGAAGAGGAAGGAAAGGAAGAAGAGGAAGAAGGAAGAGACTGAGAAGAGGAAGAGGAAAGAAAGGAAGAAGAAGAAGGAAGAGATTGAGAGGAAGAGAACAGGAAGGGATAAGAGGAAGAAGGAAAGGAAGAGGAAGAAGGAAAAGAAGAAGAGGAGGAAGCAGAGGAAGAGGAAGAAGATGAAGGATGGTGAGAGGAAGAGGAAGGAAGAGATGGAGAGGAAGAGGAAGAAGGAAAGGAAGAGGAAACAGGAAATGAAGAGGAAGAGGAAGACGGAAGTGACTGAGAGGAAGAGGAAGAACCCGCCCCAGGCCCCATCCCCCCAGCTGTGGTCACACATCCGAGGTCTAACCCAGGCCCCAGGTCCCAGTTCCCCACACTCCCATCAGGCCTCGCGACCCGAACATCCGGGTCTCCCAGGACACCGGATGGGACCTGGAGGCGGTGGTAGGCAGCGCAGTCCTCCCTGGGGTTGGCGTCCTGGGTCACGGGGGTCACGGGGGTCACGGGAAGCCCGGGTTGCAGATAGGAGGCACCTGGCCCAGCCATCAACTCCACGCACAGCCGTGCATGCGCGTCGCCCGCTGC